GCAACACGCATTGTCCCGTTGCTAAAATCGAATAACGGCAACGCGCAATGCATGTTGCAAAAACTCTAAACGCAACGCGCTTTGTACGTTGCAAAAAGAAATTAAATGACAATAGATTTTGCACTTTGCAAAAAGTTGTATTAGCAACATCCCTTAACAAAACATTGTGAAATCTCCATTTAGTCGTCCAATAGCAACATACACTTACTGAACGTTACGATAGACCCCTTTTAGCAACATGCAATTGGTGAATATTGCCTTTTGCATGTTGCAAAAGGCCTTTTTTCTTGTAGTGTGAGCCTAATGGATTCAACGTCGATGGTGGAGGACGTGGAGGCATGTGTGATAGAATCTCTCTAACCATATCACAAGTTCTTCCATCCAGACTTGTATGTTGCGAACTATATCATAAGTCTGATTAGTTCAGAAATACATGTCGTCAACCATCCATGTATATTGATCAAGCAGACCGATAAGTCAATCAGCATCTTTGCACAAATAAAAAACATCCTCTTATGTTTGGCTGCTGTTGGCCTACACAATCTGGATGTCAGCATACAGTTCGCACCCTCAAATCTAAGGCCATAAAGGCCTGCTGCATTGTTTGAACATCCCAACCGTTCTTGATCATATTAGCGAACATCTGGCGAAGCACCTGTGAGTCAACTGGTGGCTCGAGCTGTGGGACACAATGAAAGCCTATTGCTTTTGTCATTGTCTATTTTGTTTGACTATGCTCTAAGCCATAGTGGTGATCTGATGATTTATCGGGACTTGTGGACGTGTAGCCCTGCATATCTCGTAGATAATGCTCAGGAATATGATAGTGTGATATGTCCTTCTCTACTGCTAAATGTGAGTACCCAAGTCAATATTGAGACCTCGAGCCAAATGGTAGAAGAGTGCTGCCTTTGCATGATTGAATATTGTTCGGTGAGAGATAGGAAAGACGTTGTAGCAAGCAAACATCATTAGAATCATAAGAGGTTTCGTCATATTGTTGTATAAAAAAATTGTCCTTGTGAAGCGACCATGCATCTGTCGTTCTACACAGTACCTATGCTAACTTCTACCAATTCTACTACATAAGTATATGGATTATGTCATCCCTAGTCAATTTGAAAATAGTCGTTTATCACTTCAGGCATGAATGTGAACCACCCATCCCGTACCCATATCTGGTGCTCATAATCTGAGCCTAGCTCATCTAACTCTAGGTTGAACTACATTTAGATCTCCTGAATAAGGGTAAGATGTACAACATATGGCTTTACAATTGCTTTCTCCCAGCCCACTCCATGAATCAACGTCTCTAACTCAAACCTCGAGAAATTCTCTGGTATCACCTGCCTCTCTGGCCAAGCAATCTATTTGGAGAC